CCCTTGCTCAACACTTTGATGCACTTGTGAACACTCTCACAACCCTTGGTGTTTCCCCCTTTTGGTGTCTAGACTCTCAAGACCCCAACTCAGCTCCTAACTTGAACTGATTGCTCTCCCTCACGTTCTCCCTTGGTGAGTTAACCTCTTTTGAACACAATAGCACCCAGCTACTTGACCACCTTGAGATTAACCACACTTTGTTTCTGCTTCAGCCACTTCCTCTTATTCAACTTGTTTTCTCCCTTGTGTTATCTTACTTCATCCCATTACCTACACAAGCCAATGGACACAAGATAAGGCACCATCTTGTCATCCACGTTCCTTCCTTTAGTCTCCCACTTAGACTAAAGATCAGATCATGCAAGTAAACAACTCCCACTTCAGCCACCTTCCACTACACCAGAAAATGGAGAGTGAATCTTTCAAAGCAAGACAAACAATTGGCAATGAGTGCTCTCCCAACTATCCAGCAGGTAGTCAACCCTCTTTTACCTCAGAAGTGACCCACTAAGCCTCTGAAATCTTGTGGAAAGCGATAGCCCTCGAAAACACAGTTGAAAACACGTAAGAAAACGTCACAGCACGATTTGGGCGACCGGTCGCCAGGAACTGGCGTCCGGTCGCTTTGGGCAGAGTCGAAACACATTGAATCTGTGCTAGGGCGACCGGTCGCAAATAGCTGGCGACCGGTCGCTCGTCATTTTCGATTCAGACATTGAACCTGCTTCAAAACGACCGGTCGCCCAAACCTTGCGACCGGTCGCTGCCTCCATCACTTGCAACCTTAATGTGAGTCAAATTTCCAACAGTTCCTGCCTCTCTTTTTCTTTGAGCAGTAACAGTAGTTCCCCACTCTTCCTAAAACATAAGGCGCTGAGGAAAATTGTTTCTGGACCTAGTGGATTGAGAGTAATCAATTTGGTCCATGATTCCTCTCTTCCATACTCTTTCATCACCCATATATCAAGAACAGAATCTTCACGCCCATAATCCATAAAGAAAGGTCCATTGAGAGTAATCAATTTGGTCCATGATTCCTCTCTTCCATACTCTTTCATCACCCATATATCAAGAACAGAATCTTCACGCCCATAATCCATAAAGAGATTGTTGGGCATCATGAACAAAGCAATAGATTTTCTGTTATCTGAAACAGACAATTGCAATCCCAACTTGAAATTCCATTGAATAATCTTCGGCATAGGTATCTGACTGAACACCTCCTTGCCCAGGTCAAATGTCAATATAAAATAGTAAGAATCAACATCTGTCTGACAGACTACAGGCCAATGAAGAACCCCATTAACAAAAGCACTGGATGCAGCTTTATCTATTAGACATGCAGGAGAAACACAACCAAGACTCCTCCATGTGCCGGTGGCTAGGGAATAAACCTCAGCTAGCGTTGGCATCTCATCATCTTCATCCAATAAAGTCACAACTCGCACAACCTTATAGTCATTGGTTGTAGCATCAAAACCGAACCCAATAGAAGCATCGTACCCACCATGCGTTGGAAAGGTAATACCAGGCTTGGGAAGGGTCACTGACTTTTTAATGGCTGGGTTCCATATAATGAAGTTGTAAGCATAAGAGGGGACATCATCCGCAAGGCAAATTAGCCCATCACAAGTGCCAACGACACGAAGATGTGAATTGCCGTAGTTTTTCTTTGCGGCAATTGGAAATTCTATCTTGGAGTATACATCAAACGCCTGGTTATCATGATGCACAGAGTGAACCTCGTCTTTCACCTTGTGAATGACCGTGTTTTGGTAGTAGTTGAGGCTATTGCTACCAGCAATTCTGTGGAGTAGGAGGAGGTCAATGTCATTCAGGTTAGCGAAGTCCACTGTTGGGTTGAGGTGTGCGTGAATAAAGCTTTGGTTTATGATCATGGACCTCCATGCCTTGCAGACTGAAGTGCATTTGATCAGAGATTTAACGGATAGCCTAATTAGGATCTCTTGCATGATTTCCTCAGGAAAAGAGTGTGCCATCGCTTCAAATTTCAATTCGTGTATCCCTTGTGTGATATCTTGTATGTTATCCATGTCTTTCAAATTCAAATAGTTATACCACCTGAGAAAAGCAATAGAGACAAAACTCAGCAATAATTGAGAAAAACAAAACACAGGGGAGCTGTTCTTAAAGCAGAGTACTAAAAAAACAGAGCAAAAAAAACCCTAAACGTCATATTATTCATATCAAACCCAAAAAAAAAAAAATCAAAACCCAACAGGGAAAAAAAAAAATACTAAAGCCAAACCCATAATTTTTAGCTGACAAAAAAGCTCTAAAAAAACTCCCATAAGAAGGAAAGAGAAAGTTTAGGAACTTACAAATTTTGGTCCTGATGAGCAGGGCCGAAGTAATGTAGCTGAAGAAGAAAAGCTTCTAGGAATTTCCTTTCCGTACCCTACCAGATTTATATGCTTCTCTATTTATATGCTTTGTTACTGCAAAAGCTTTCCTCTTTTTTTTGGTCAGGCCGCAAAAGCTTTCCTATTTGTTTTTGAAGAAATCAAACGTTACAAGTTTCTTAGAATAAGTTGTTTGGAATATATATCTGCAAAATGAAGTGTGAATAAAAATAAAGTATTTCACATTAAACCATTGCATGAAGGAAAACAACATTCCCAATTTTTTTAAAGGAAGAATCAACTCTTTGGTATCTGAATGTGTAGTTTAAGGCTTTTTGGTGCATTAAGGTTCAATATGTTACAAACAGGGCGGGTCTTAAGATTTTGAGGGCCTTATGTAAAATTTAAACTAGAGCCCTCATATAATCTAATATGAAAATACTAAAATAAAAAAAATTATTTCTACGACTTAATGTCATAAACCAATTTTTTATATAATTAAAATTCATCATCAATTAGCATATAATAACAATCACAAATCAAATTCATAATTTTTTTAATGTTTTCATTTGATAAAGTTAAATATTAGTATCTTTGGTTTAAAAAAAAAACAGAGTTTAAGAGAAAGAAGAAGACATGAATATTTTTTTTTTTGGCGTTTTGTTTTGAGTGGAAGAAATCTTTTAGACTCAAACCTAAGCCTTGTATCAAGGGATATGCGATAGAAACCAGCTTCATCAAACACACTTTTGTGTCAATGTGCTGCACGCTGTAGTATATATACAGTTTTTATAATATTATATATAATATAAAGTAAAAAAAAATTCGAGGGCCTTGTGCAGTGGCTCCACTTGCACCATGCCAGGACCGCCCCTGGTTACAAATTCCTTTTCAATTAGGCCTAGAAATAAATGTGAGAATCTGTATTCTTAAAAAGTTTTTAAAGAAGATTAAACATTGTTTTAAATATATATATATATATATATATTGTTTTTACAATACTATTCTAAATAAATATTTGTACTTAGTATATATATGTTCATTTGAATAACTATAAATTATATATTTATTATTGGTCTTTCTCTAGATATTTCTTGGGTATTTAATTGTATATAATATCCTATTGTTAGAATTTAGTAGTAGCTTAAGAAACGTCCACCTATCAACCAACTTGATTGTTGTCAATCATAGTTAGCTTAAGAAACGTCCACCTATCAACCAGCTTGGTTGTTGTCAATCTCTAGTGAAAAATGAAAATTCATACAAAGAGATTAAACGTAGAGGGAGAAAGAGAGATTAGTGAGGAAATTCTTGGAAGAGATATAAGGGCTTAGCTTGTGTTTTCCTAAACTTGGAGCTAGCTTTGGAAACAAGGTAGGGGTTTCTTGGGGGCCTTTTGCAGAATTGATTTAATTAAATTTTGTGAACAATATATTATGTGTGATATGATTATTTGATTCGGGACTGGCGAAAGGGAGTTAGGCAAGATGACTAACAAAAGGGGAATTATGGGACGGTTGAAATGGGTGTTAGTTCATATAAATGGGCATTCAGGACCAAGTTGTATAAGCATGGTATGGGACGTGCAGGTCTGCTTGTCTAGTTATATGAATTAACGGGATTAGATGAAGAGCATTCATGCATTATTATTAATAATGTGATATTTGGGTGTGTAATTGTTTGTCATTTAATTTAATTATATCAATTTCATGTAAAAAGGCTTATGTCCCTATTGAGCTGTGGTTTCGCTCACCCCCTAATAGATTTTGCAGGTACCGAACCTGAAATCTAAAGCTTGTGATGATTTTGGCATATTTATAAGAGTGTACTGTGTACATAGCTTGTGGATAAATAATGAGTTACTCTTTTAGTAAACTCTTTAGTAGTTCTGGCTTGTAAAATAATTTAAGATTTCAGATGTTGTTGTTTCGAATATTCTATGTGAAATATTTACTTTATTTATTTAAATGCTTCTTCACATTTTAGTTATAGTTTTTATTAAATTCTATAATTAAGGTGTGAATCACGTCTTAATCCAAGATTACGTAAACCCGTGGGTTGGGGCGTGATAATAAAGCCCAGGCCCGATGGGCTAGCCTGAACCCGGCCCGATTTGTTGATGTGTGGGCTTACCCGGCCCGACCTAATGGGCGGGCTTAGCCCAGCCCGAAGTCTAATATATAGAGCTTGGGCCTTATTTTTAAGCCCTTTAAAAGCCCGGCCCGGCCCGGTTATAATTAATTAATTAAATTAATTATAATTATATTATATGTAGTATTGCATTGTGTGCCATAGTGTATTATTATATTTCTATTCCTTTGTGTGTTAGCTATATTTTGTCTTAAAGTACAACTTTGTTGCTATATTTTGTCTTCTTTTTTTTTTTGGTCAAATTGCTATATTTTGTCTTAAAGTAATGGATGATGATGAAAATAATCCTTTAAATATTTTAGTCTATTTCAATTTTCAATGTATTGTTGTTATTATATTAATTATGGATGAAGTTTTCAAACATAAAAAACAAATGAAGTTGAATAAAGCATAAAATAATGGCCCATTTCATAGGGCTAAATAGGCCCGAATCATTGGCCCGATCATAAGCTTGAAAATGTTAAACCCATGGGTAGGGCCTGGGCTTTGTATATTTGATATAGGGCTGGCCCGGTCCGGCCCGATCACTCCTTAGGGCTGAAAAGGCCCGTTACTAATTAGGGCTTGGGCTGGCCCGGCTCGGCCCATTTTCCAGGCCTATTTTCAATGCACCAAAAAGCCAACTTACTCTTATAAAAGAAATTTCACACATTCTTCCTCAAGTTTATATAATAATTAATTTATCATCACGCTGGTAAAATTTTGAAGAGAAATGAAAGTAGAATATGCTTGGAAATTGTTCATAGTGTGCGGCGTTATAATTGCTAGTGTCACTTTTATGTGTGCAGCCTTTGGGACAAACACAAGAGAAAGAATAAGCAAAGCAAACGAGCGATTAAGGACGGTGGGATGGTTATTATGGCAGGAGTTGGTGCTGTTTTGGCCACGGCAGCCTCGGCAGCCGCAGCAGCTAGTGGTGATTTTCCTCATGGTGGTGGGAGCAACCTTGTTTGACTATAGTTTCAAGCATATGAATTATTTGTCTGCCATGCAAACTTGGTTTGTTTTATTCAAAGGGAATTCGCTCAAATTGTTTAGAGTTCAATCACAAAACTCAAATTTATATTATAACCCAGGATTTCTTCTAAAATATTTGAAAATAATGGCAAAAAATAAGAGACAATTTGGGTTAGGAATCAAATAAAGGAGTCCCTAATTTGAATGGAAAACCATTCAATAAAAATAAACTGCCAAAGTGATTTCAACTCCTAATTAATTAAAGGCTTAAATGCTAAAATGGTCCTTGTGTTTTAGCTTGTTGGCCAATTTAGTCCATGTGTTTTCAATTTGGCTAATTTGGTCCCTGTGTTTCGCATCGTTAACTAATGTAATCCAATCTGTTAAACTTCTATTAAAATATTAATAAAAAATATAAATATTTGAATTCAATCTATAAAATAAATTATTATGAAATAAAAATAAGATTTAAAAGCTAAAAGCAATTAAAAACCAAAGGACAAAACCATTTCATCTCAACTGCAACGCCCTTTCTCCCCAGCAACAACTCACCCACACGCAAAAACCCCAACTCCCCAACCCACAGCCACCCACCCCTCCCCTTCTCTCTCTCTCTCTCTCTCTCTCTCTCTCTCTCTCTCTCTCTCTCAAAAGAACAATCCCTCACTCCTGACCATCTCCCTGTTTTAGTTCTAATGAAGTTTTAATATGTTTTTAAATTAATTTCAACAAAATTTATAGGTTTTCAAAGGAAGAAGAAGAAAAAAAGAATTTTCTTGTTTATTTAACGGCAATTTTAACAGAATGGGCCACATTGGCTAACAATATACTAAACACAGAGACCAAATTAACCAAATTAAAAACACATGGACTAAATTAGCCAATAGGATAAAACACAGGGACTATTTTATCATTTAAGCCTTGATTAAAATGTTCTTACAGCAGACTAGTGCCAGGTTAAAATGTTCTTATGAATATTGATCAATAAGCTATCTCTAAATCTGAACCCCACGTTGGCTTTATACCACAATTCTCCTCCCCTGGAATATGTTTATGAGATTTCAACTCAAGAAATTGCTAAGCACCAAAAAGTCAACTTAGTATGTGCCAAAAAATTAGTCAACCTATTATGAAAAGAAAAGGTTCCATAACAAACTAAACTTGAAAGAGCTGAAGGTGGTGAAGGAAGTTGAGGTTCCACTCCAAAATTAATTGGCAAAGGGAGGAGTAGTCCAACTCCTTATAAGTCCTTGCAAGGTATTCTAACTTTCTAATGTGAGACATTTTTACCTTCACATTCTCATAAATGGAACAAATATTTTGGCAGGAGCCGGTGTTGTTTGGGGTACTAGTCCAGCTGTTGTAGCCACCATAGCTAGTGATGTTGGCGGTGGCGGGGTTTGGGTGGGAGGCGGTGGGGGTGGCGGTGTGTGGAGGAGGATGTTGATGTTGCATTTTTAATTTTCATTTTTATACAAATGATTTGGGTAGGGGTAATCAAAGTTCAAACAATAAATATCTCCGTACAA